TATATATATATATATACATGGTAACTGCTGGAGAATTAAGCGTGCTCATTAAAGCTCGGAGATGGGAAGGTTTAAAGGTGTGTGAAACGTGAAGCGATGGCCAGGATTTGAACACCACGTTGTTGCTTTTGCAGTGAAGGAGACGTCACAGGGATCTGGAAAGACCACAGGAGATGTTACTGGGGTCTGTAAGACCACAATAATCACTTCATTTCTTGCTATTATTTTTTTAAAACCATGTCCCATGTGGGAAGCTGGACCAGTATGCTCCAATTTGGTGGTTAAGCGCTGATGCCAGGAGGCTTCAATCCCTGTTTCAACCCCTCCTGGGATAGCACCATGACCAGTGAAGCCACTCTGTGCTGCATGGATGGGATCTACAGGAACTGGGAGCCTAAAATGACTGTATTATACAAGCCTTATGAGGAGCGACTGAGGGAACTGGGCTTGTTTAGCCTGGAGAAGAGAAGGCTGAGGGGAGACCTCATCACCACCTCCAACTGCCTCAAGGGAGGTTGTAGAGAGGTGGGTGCTGGTCTCTGCTCTCAGGTGATGGGGGATAGAACAAGGGGAAACGGCACCAAGCTGTGCCAAGGGAGGTTCAGGTTAGAGATAAGGAGGAAGTTCTTTCCTGAGAGGGTTGTCAGAGGCTGGCACAGGCTGCCCAGGGAGGTGGTGGAGTCACCATCCCTGGATGTGTTTAAAGAGCGGGTAGATGAGGTACTTAAAGATATGGTTTAGGGAGTAGACAGGAATGGTTGGACGTGATGATCTCAGAGGTCTTTTCCAACCGAGCGATTCTGTGATCTGTGATTCTGTGTATTCTTGCTTGAGGACCCTAAATCCTGATTATTTCCTCAGTATCAGCTGCTCCAGGCTCAAACTGACGCCCTGAGCCAGGTCCCCAACCCAACTGGTGCTGCTGGGGACCTCCCTGCCCAACTCACCCCTCTGGGTGCAATTAGAGATCGTCCACAGCAAGTTAATGGAAATAATTAATTATAAGCAAAATTAAAAAGAAGCCTCCCCCAAGGACATTTGGGTGCAGGACTCTGCAGTGGAGGGAGAAGGCTGGGTCCATTCCTCAAACCCAGCAAGGCTGGGTCTTTCCTACCTTCTCCCGTGTTAGAAACTGTGTCCTGATTTCAGAGCCCTGTTAATTTTCCCGTCCCCAGCAGCAAATCTTGAAAGGAGAAGCAAGAAGACTCAAGACACTTTGAAGAGGATACGTATTTATTTAGTTTTTAAAAGAACAACAAAAATGAAACCCTAAACCAACCAAGTGACCCAAAACCTTTGCAGACCCAGAACACTGAACAAAAAGTATTTCGGCTCGCCCGCTTTTCCAGTCTCTGCTAAAAAACCCCCCATGTGTGCTATCATCATCCCTACAGCAAATATCAACACCAAACAAACCTGTAGCCCCATTTTGCAGGGGAGCCCTGGATTGAAATACTCAATTTTTGGCTTCTGCATGGACCTTTCCTCCGTCTCACAACCGGGCGAGCTCCCCCGCTCTCCCACAGCGGGAAGGGAATCGCTGCCGCTTCTGCGACGCCGTAACAGTTATGAATACTCAGAAACGCACAGATCACACCGTAAAGTTACAAATAAAACAATCCTGACAACAACAAATAATAATAAACCACTGTTGAAACCTGGTTTGCGTGAAGACCAAGTACAGCACACGGTTAAAAAAAAACAAAACCCAAAGGGAAACCCAGACATCCCCAAACCTACCAGCATCACACAGAAATTGGGAGACGACGTGCAACTTCCTTGCTAGAAAGGGTGGCGTAGCGAGGAGGTGATGTACAGGTACGATCCACGGGCTCAGCTCTTGCTTTGCTAAATGCCCGGCTCAGGGGACAGCAGCCACCGCCGCGGTCACCAAACGGGAGCCACAGTCACCCCCGAGTGCAGCTCCTGCCTTCAGCCTGGTGTTTCAAGCTCTGCTTAACCCCACCGGTTACTCAGTGGCCCTGATGGTTTCGTGCTCTGTGTGGCCTTTCCCGACCTCGGTGCCTCAGCTGCAGCTCCGTGTAAACAGCTTTGAAGATGAAGATGAGGGATGAAGGTTTTGCTCCTCTCTGGGTCCTTCCTGGAGCCGGCACAAGCAGCTGGAGGTGAGAGCTGACCTGCAGCAGCTGTTGGGAAACTGTCTCCCCATCTACCAAATCCTTGAAAACGGCCCATGTCTGACACCGTGAACACCAAGACAGCTGACACAGATAAAAAACAGCAATAAAAACAGAGGGGAAGAGGTTTTGGGAAGGTGGCCATGGCTCAGGGACTGCCTGGGCATGGTTTAATGGTGGGAGATGGTGAGTGGTTGCCTTTGCATCACCTGGATTTTTTTTTTCCCTTTCCTTTTTCCTTTGTTATTAAACCATCTTTCTCTCTACTCACACGTTTTCTGGGGTTTGCTCTTCCTATCTCCTGTCTGGTCCTGCTGGTGCTTCACCACAAGCACAGGTTTAACACTGGAGGGGTTGTAAACCAAGGCTGGAAGCCATTGGGATGCTGGGTGGAGGAATAACGAATGGTCCTTACTTGGCCAAGCTTGATGTGAATCAGGTTCACATCGCTGGATGACTTCAATTATCACAGATGAACAGGGACAGTATCACGATGACGAGAACAAAGTGCTCCAGGGAAACTGAAGCAGCACAAACCAGTGCTCCCTGCTGCTTTTGAGAGCAAGATATGGCTGTGTGCTAACCCTTGCTCTGCCCAACGCTGAGCAGCTCTAAAATTGCTGCAGCTGCTGCTTCTCACGTTTTTGAGACACACACATTGCCTGCATGCGTGGGGACACACACCCAAAGCTCCTGAAGGCCACTTCTGCCCCATCTGAAGAGGTGACACTAAGGGACCACTGGGTGGATGCTGCTATGATGCACAGAAATGCCACGAGCAAAGCTGATGGGGTGGGAGAAGAGAACTGGGGGAAGGGAGGGTGAAACCAGTCCCCACCAGCAGCAGCAATGAGCTCAGCTGGACTGGTTCTCCTTACGTTTCTTGGCATCATTTGAACCCTGAGGTTGGATCCAGGGGGGTTCACAGGCACGCTGGGAGCTCAGCACAGTTTGTTGCAGCCTCCTGCTGGTAACGAAGACCCTGAACGCGGTGGTGATGAGGGAAAAAGTAGGAAACGTGTGAAAAGTGACCTGCACCAAGGACCTGAGCAAAGCAGGAGGAACCCACGATGTGCCCTGGCCGGTGAAGTATTGGAACAACATCTGAACACTCAGCAAAGCCTCAACCTTCACCATCTCCCTGAGAAGGCTGTGAAGGTGACACAGCAGCGTTTTCTGTCCCCTTAGCATCACCCTTTTTTGGTTTCCTTCAGGCTCCCAGGCCCCGCTTCCAGTGATGGGGGCTCAGTGGCTGGAGGATCAGCCCTCTGAGCTGCTCCCCAGTGGAGGAGCTGCTGGGCAGACTGGAAGGCTCTAAGCTACAGGTGTATCCCACACCTTCCCAGCACAGGTGGAAGAATCAGGCAACAAGGTTAACAGTCAGGCCTGGCATTCCCAGTGTAACTCACAACCCGTTGCATGTTCCCCAGGGCTCAGCCATCCGGACATTAAGGGATGGCACCAAACAGGCTCAGGGTTCAGCTCATCAAAGCCAGGAGGAGAGGACAACAGCACCACAACAAGGCTGGGTTCCTAACGGAGAACTGGGGGAGCTTTTACATTCATTTAAAAGGGCTAAAAATGAAAAAAAAAATAAATGGGAGGAGGAGTTGGAAGCAAAAGAGGCTGCATTAAAAAAATGCAACCTCGCAACAATAACCGCATCGTCTCTCCGTGATCCACTTCAGGTAGGTTCCCAGCGGAGGCTCCACGTTTCCAGGAGCTTGGCACAGCCAACACCTCCCCTGTGTGATAAAAACAACCCCCCCCTGGGGGATTCCCTGCTGCTCTGCTCTATAAAACACTAAAAAGGTCCCTGCAGATTGTCCCCGGCCGTTACTCCTCCTTCGGCCTCTTCCTCCAGCGGGCCAGGAAGGGCCCGAGGCTGTTCCACACCTCCGTGTACATGAGGGTCCCCACGAAGACAAAGGTGGTGCCCAGCCAGTGCCAGGCTGTGAAGGGGTTGCGGAAGTAGAGGATGGAGAAGATGAGGCTGACGAACTTGCGCAGCGTCACCACCAGCGTGACGGTGAGGGAGGTGCACTCCGTGGTGAGGATGAAGACGCCTCGGATGCAGACGTATCTGGGTGGGCGGAGGTAAGGGGACATGGGGGCTGAAGAGGCTGGATCACCTGGGCAAGCCTTCGAGGATGAAAAAGGCAATGGAGAGCCCCAGCTTGGTTATCGAGGGAATAAAATTCCCTTCTCCTCAGCTCAGCATTTCTACAGCTACAAACAGTTCCACTACAAACCCTAGGGACACCCAAAACCTCCCAGACTCTCCCCACGTTTGCTCTGGGACAGTAAATTACCCCAGTAGAGCAGCTGGGGCTGATGTTTTGTCAAAATGTTAATGGCACGTAGCATTTACAGTCCCTGCAATGGAGCCAAGGGAAGCTAAAATCAAGATTTCTCCATTTATACACAGCAGAAGTCTCCTTTCCTCTGTGAGGGGCGTGGGAAAAGCAAACTAAGCAAGGAGGCTCCATGGAGAATCCTGAGCAGCACAGTACTCACTCAGCAGCGAGAGGAAAATGGTAAGAGGGACTGAAGGGTCCCATTTTTGAGGGCATCTGGGCTTCAGCAGACTTTCAGAGCTGTCCTTTCTGCCTGGAAGAATCCCCACACTGATAGGAAACACACATGGCTCCTGATCTGTCCCTTCTACCTAGAGCTGGTTAGCAAAACCACCATGAGTTTATACCAGCCAGCCTGTCCACCCGGGGACACCACCTTGGGAGGTGGTGGCAGATTTCAGCCACCCTGGAAATAAAATCCTAAGTCCCAAGTTAAATTTCACTCTGTATTTTCCAAGACTTACATGGAAATCAGCTCCCAAATGCAAGGAGGACTCCAAGGAGTCAGCTCCCCACCTCATTCCTCCTCTCCCACCCCATTACTACCTCCATGGCGCGTCTCCAGCCGAGCTTTGAAAGGATACTGAGTGATGACATTCATGAGGAGGTAGAACCACATGATTGGCAGGGTCAGCCCGATCACTGGCACCTGGAATGGCTCTGTGGGGAGAAAGCATGGGGCAAGGTCACTTCCCTGCTCCTGCTTAAGGAAAACACAAGGAGAGGGGTCTCCTGGCCAGGATTGGCCACGATCCGGGACACGCTGCAGCTTCAGGAGACCATTGCTGCATTAAGCAGGCTGAGGTGTGGAAACATTTTGATTTTTGCTCCCAACGGAGACTTTTCTTGCTCTTTCTGTACTAAATAACAAAGCCAAGAGAGTTTGCAGATGTTTCTGCTTGGACTTTTGCAGGGTAGAAAGGAAGATACTTTCTGTACTAAATAACAAAGCCAAGAGAGTCTGCAGATGTTTCTACTTGGACTTTTGCAGGGTAGAAAGGAAGATGGAGGAAGAAGTAGGCTAAGGAAAAAAAGACATTAAAAGAAAAGCTCTGTCTTGCTTTCTTGTGTCAGGGTTGTCCCATTAAAACTGGATCCATCAACTGTGCAGCTCTGAGAGGCAGTGCCAGCATGGCAAAGCCTGCACAGCACCAGCAAAGCAAAGCCAACGGGCCCATGTTTACACCCGTGGTCGAGGATTTGGACTTGTTACTCCCAGGGGCGCAGTCTCCATCCCTGGAGGTGTTCAAGGAGCACCTGGATGTGGCACTTGGGAACATGGTTTAGTGGCCATGGTGGGGTTGAGTTGATGGTTGGACTGGATGATCTTAGAGGTCTCTCCCCACCTTAATGATCCTGTGTTTCTATGATTTTTAAACTACTACATTGCTTCACCTCATGCTTTCCATGATATAGGTGTAGCACAATAGAAATATTTTGCAATTATGTTAATGAACAGGTTACAGTGATTTACACAAGCAAGCAATCCCCCTGCCCAGAGGGGATCAGAGAACCAGCAAACTAATCAGCAAAGATCCCCGCAGCTTCACAAGATGAGGTTTACAGGAAGCTTGCTGGTACGGAAAAACCTGGTGAATTTTGCTATTAAACATAAGCAGATGTATAGCTCCAGGTGGATGGATGAGCAACCCGGCTGGGCCCTACACGTACATGTATCAGTGAGAAGAGGTTGGACAATGTCCTAAAATGAGTGTGGGGTTGGGTTTTTTTTTTGCTTCTGGCTATCAAACCTGAAAATTCAGAGGACTTTAATGTCCCAAGCTGACGGTTTGACAAGCAAAACTGTTGCACTGAAAGATTCCCACAGATTTTCTAGAGCACAGAAAGGTACAAGAGCAAGGATCTGTCTGCACAACACTTACCAGACTGGCTGAAGAGGACTGCATGGTGGTAGATGTTTGGGGCGAGGAGGAGAAAGCCAGGGAGTGGTAATGCGTGCTGGAGAGAAAAAGTAAAGACACGATGTTAACAGATGATGTGAGATGATGTGAACCCTCCCCAATTCTCATCCAGCCTCACACATCTGGATAAGGGCACTCTTCACTGCTCCAGCCTTGCAGCGTGTGAGCCTTTGAGTACAGGGTGGCAGGGGAAGGGACTCTCTTAGCAGCTCTACCTGCCCAGTAAAAGCACCAGAAAAGACGTAAGGTGACTTACGTTGTAAAAAAGGGCCTCTTTGGAGTGCTTCCCAAACTGCTTGTACAGCGTCTCCTGGAAAATCCCCATCCTGGCAGACATCAGGAGGGCGAAGGTGAGCGCAGCAATACCTGGAATAGAAGCACAGACTTGTAACACTGCTCAAGAGTGGCATAGCTCAAGTCAACCAGCTTGAAGACTCCCACAATTTGGCTTTCAGTGATAAAAAGCCAAAGCATCCAGACTTGGTAAAATGGGCAAAAAATTAATAATGGTCTTGGGGACGCGGGTATCTTATTAGCAAGGCTGAGGTGCCAACAGACTTCTGAAAAGATCATTTCTTTAAGAAGAGACTCAGCCATGGCAAGCAGAGTTGGTGGGATACCAGGGATGCAGTTGTGTGCCACTCTTAACAATACATCAATCCCAGTTTCCCCAAAAAAGCCACCAATAAATCCAGGTTGGAGGTATAAAAAAATAGACTCAAGTGCCAGACTGTAGAGACTCCTCCATGAAAAACTGTGCTGAATGAGCACCTGAACCAGCTATGGCCCCTCTCCCTCCCTGCAGCATCAGGTGTATCAGGTAGGGCTGCTTTTGCAAAGAGAAAACAAGAAGATAGCTGCATGCATGGCCGTAGTCTCATTACACTACCTTGCAGAAACCCTTTAGGTCCCATATTTGACCAAATAGTTATCTCCTTGCACAAAGCTGCTAATGAGTGCCACAAAACCCCAGCCTTTACAAATCAACACCCAGCAGGTGCTCAGCACAACCTAAACTCAGAGCAGGGACACCCACCACAGCCTCCTCAGCACAACCCACACGGCCAAGGACACCGCAGAGCTGAGTCTTGCCGCTATCCCAGCAAGGGCGGCTGGAGACGTGGCACTCACATACCTAGCAGCCACCACAAGAAAACCTGGAGTCCATCCTCTTCATTTAAGCTGGAGTCAGATGCCTGGTGGAGGGAGATAAATCACGGTCACCATGAGCTACCATGTCCCTGCGGCTCATTTGCCCTGCCTGAACCTCACTCCTGGTTTGTGTGTTGTGTTCCAAGCAAGCCCACAAAACAAAGACTGTCCAAGGTCTCACATCCTCCAGAGTTGCTTCTCTGGCTGAACAGCAGTGGTAGCAACTACAGCGCGCTTTACTTTCCATTCTGCTTCAGACAATGCACCAGATCCAGCTAAATTTTTAAACATCTGATCAAGAAAGTAGCTGTTCTGAAAGCAGTGCTCTGGCCTGGCCAGAGACCGAACCCAGTGCGACTTAGAGAGCTCCCACTGGCAGGGTCTTCTGTTCCCATCTCAGAGGTGGGAGTGCAGGAAAAAACAAGGGTTCTGCCCAAGCTCCAGGCAAATACTAAAGCCAGAGCTCTGCCTTGTGGTCAAGACATTGAGGAAACCAGGGCTGTAGATGCTGTCAGCTCAGGGTAAAATTTCAGACTGGGTAAAACTGGGTAAAACTGCAAGACTTGGCTCAAATCTCTTTCACTGCAGTTTAGGGCAAATTGGATTACTCACCTTAGCCACAACTGTCCGTACAATACCAAAACCCCAGGCCTGCTGAGAGTTAATCTGGATTAACAGAGAGCAAGGCTGCATAGCACAGACCTTCCTCAGACACTTTCAGAGTACAAAGAGCTATTAAATGATGGGAGACTTGGAGGTTTGACAGCCCTGTTTCTTTCCAATCTCTCAGAGCTGGGTTCAGTGCAACCAATTTCCACTTGACCACCACTTTATGTCATTCTTCTGTCTTCAGTCGATAAGATCAGGCTGTGGGTGCTGACCCAGGAAAAGCCCAAAGTGGCGTTACACAGGGATTTTCTTCACTCCCTCCTGTTCTCCAAATAGATGCACTTTATTTCAAGGGTCACAGAAAAGTCCTGTTGGAAAATGACAGGTCTGGAAAAATCTAGCTCGAAAGCCAACAATCACTTCTGGGATAAAAAGAGTGAAGATTTAAGATGGCTGAGTTTTAAGATTCACTTGCTCCTAACTGCAAGTATGGGCAAGAGAGAACAGCTTCGAGCTGCTATCTTTGTGGCAAAAAATAATGGTATAATCTCAGCAAAAAGCAACCTGAACACCACGAGATAAAAGGCATTTGTGATTAAGTTAAACCACATGCACGTGTGTGCATCCCTTCCCTCCAAACCACAGGAAAATGAGACCAGGAACAAGCTAGGAGAGATCTTGCCTCTCCATCAATAGCCAGACAAAGGGAATTGCTGATGAAGGAGCTGACAGCAGCTCCTCTTGTCAATAAGGTTCATAACTACAACCTCAGGCCCTTTCCAATCCTTACCACTTGCTTTGCAGACATGAAAGTGCAGGTGAAGATCCCCAGGGACACCAG